GTCCTCCATCCGAAACCGAGACATCGTAATCCAGGAACGCCAACCTGCCATTTTTTTACATCCTCTCGTGTGAACTTAATATATTCATCCACAGAGTTGATGTGATCAGTGAAATGTTGGACTTCCTGGGCTTTMATTTTAACCCAGGTGTCGTCAACATATCTGAACCAATGGCTCGGTGGCACCCCTGAAAARRRCATCAAGGCTCTCTTTTCCACTTCCTCCATGTACAGGTTTGCAACAACAGGTTTGCAGCTGTGTCCTTAACCATTTAATTCTGCTGTGTTGGAGCTAATTATGTAATTTAGTCGGGGTTATATTGACTGGATCAGGGGATCATAACCGCCCTAACYCCGCCCCACAAATGACGCCCATGGACGCAGCCCACCCCCGGTGCGGCTGTGTGTGTGTGTTCCTTTAAAGGCTGCCGTCACTGCGCAGAACAGTTTGAACCAAAAAGCGGAGTGACCTTCCTCCGCGTTCAGTCTGAGAGAGGGGCAGCGCTGAAGCAAGAAGCCGGGTCACAGCTCCTGCAGTCCGCCCCCACTACAGCCTCAGAAATGAACAACAACTTAGTGGGAGATGAAGTCGGGTAGGACATCTTTATTAAACCTTTTCGACGTCTCCAAAAGCTGCGCTACAAATAGCAGCGCAACTTGCAGTCTGCGCGCTGTGCTGTCAAGCTGTCATCTGACGGCTAGCGGAGGCTAACAAGCTTAGCACCAAGCAGAGGAAAGACATTAAAAAGTGAAAGTAGTTCCTCAAAGTAGTTCAGTTCTTGGTGCCGGGGATTGCGGTGAAGCAACCCGAGTTTACTTAGGGTAATGTCACTTCGGGTGTCAGAGAAAACCCAGTGGAAGTGCGGCTACTTGTGTTGTTTCCAGTTAGCTTGAAGTAGCAGAGCTAGTTCTGCTAACGCTCCGGCAGCGAACGTCTCCTCTTCCTGACTTCGCCGCTGCGAGGAGGACATTTAGCGGGCACCGCTGGAGGATGGAGCATCCTCCTCTGCACCGAGCTGACGGCTTCAGTGTGCATTTGTCGGCGACACGTTTTAATCTGTGAAATAAACAATAAAAAAAAAGCTACTTTGAGATACTTAAAGCAGACCTTGTGATTGAACTCTGTCAGCGTTTTGGTAGCGGAGCCAAGCAGCTGCTCCGTCCCGCTGCTGTTGGTCCGTGTCGGTTCTGCCGCAGGTTCTGCTGGGTGTGTTTTAGCTCCGCCAAGCGCCACAGTTCTGTCTCCGGGTGACTTACGTGGCAGGACGTTCATTAAAAGACCTTTTACTGTCGATGCTATTCTGTTATCTTTTTAATCCTGTGTGACTTTATGAATTGATGTCCACGTTTTTTTTCTTTTAGGAAACTTTTTGTTGGTGGGTTGGACTGGAGCACAACACAAGGTGAGTCATAAATGCTCACACACATTGTTGTTGTTGTTGTTGTTGTTGTTGTTGTTGTTGTTGTTAAACAGTATGTAATGACTGACACATTGATTTATTTCAACCAGACACCAGATCCTGAAATGTTGGAAAATAAAGAAAAAGTTGATTAAATTACAGATTTAATCAGAATTAGCTGAGTTTTTGTTTTGAAACAGATCTTAAAATACATTTTTATATACTATATATTTACTAAAGATGTAGCTTCTTGCCATTGTCACAATGTCACAGTAAATGTAATTACAAAGTAATAACAGAAATTATTAAATTATGACTTTTTATATGTCTGACGCTGATCTGTTCACTTATATACACAATGTTTTTATTTTATGTTTGGTCATTGTGCATTTTTTATTTAACAAAACATAGCTATAATTGCTTAACGTAAATACATTTACCATGCTTTTTGAAGAACGTCTTTTTTGTCTGCCTATAAAGGTAATATTGTATTAGTAAAGTGCGTTATGAAGCTAAAACAGTATATAATACTGTAATTCTTACCTGTATTATTAGTATTTTGATTGTATTTGTTGTTTTATAAGGAGAATAGGGCATCACCAGACCCAGTTACACAGCAGGAAATACTGCCGTATGAATATTTCAAAGAGATACCCAACTCTTTTGTAAGCATTGTTCTTTCTGCATTATTTTTATAAATAAATATGTATTTTTTTATGCTATCACTTCATTGCAAACCAGAGTGATTGAATCTACATCTGTGTTTACATTCCTCCCTCATTCGGTCCTACCAGGAGATGATACAGCTTGCTTCAAACCCTTTTATTGGCTTGTGGTCCTTGTTTAATTATTTTTTTTCGTCTGTGTTAACAGCGCGCTCACAACCGAGCCACAGTTCTGCGTTAACTCAGTGGCTGTTTCTGCTCTCGTGCCCCGGGGCTTTTCAGCAATAAGAAAACCAATTATGCCAACTCTCTCCAGAGCTACTCATTTGTTCAAACTTGCTTGCCTTAGTTGAGTTGGCTTTGTGGGTGTGTGCAGGATTTGCTGGTAGTATGTTTGGTTCCATGCAAGATGACAGCAGGTCTGTGCTTTGTTTGCCCTCTGGGAGTTGCTGTGTACGACTTACAGTAATTTAATGTTTACGTATAAATAGTACAGTCCTCAGTAATCTGCAGTAACATAAACTCAAGGTCACTGGGTGATCCTCTGGGTTATTTTGTGGAGTTCTTGTGTTTTATTTGAACACCTCCTTATTGTTCCAGTTTTAGCTCCGGCGCTTGTTGAAGTGCTTAAACACATTTTCATGCTCATTTATCATAATGAAAGAAAGAGGTTTAGAAATCACGACTGCTCTTTGTTTTACTGTTAGGAAGGAAAACTGGGCTTAGTTAAAATTTTGGTTGTAACTTCAAATTTTCACTGTTTATCTACGTTTGATTACATGAGGCCTTACTGTCCTGTTTGTCTTTTCTTTTTTTTTTTCCTTAGAGACGCTGAGAAACTACTTCTCGCAGTATGGAGAGGTAGTAGATTGTGTCATCATGAAGGACAAAACCACAAATCAGTCTCGAGGCTTCGGTTTTGTTAAGTTCAAAGACCCCAATTGTGTACGAACAGTGCTGGAAACAAAGCCACATAACCTCGATGGAAGAAATGTGAGTATTGATTTGTGATTGTTTGGTGTTGGAGTGTTAAATCTTTATAGCTTTTTGTGTTTAGAAGTTATTAGAGAAGAAAAACAAGTTTTATTTGCAGGGTTTAAATCAAACGACTTTTATTTGTTAGCTTAATTAGCGTTAAAAATTTTTTTGGGGGGAACTATAATACGTTTTTTTTCATGATTCTAAACTGTGCTTTTGATGAATGGCTGTGTAGTTTTTTTAAATGTGGAGTGATATTTTAAAGGCCACATCTTTAACTTATCAGTATATTCTGCACGTGTCATTGAGAGGGACAAAGCAATACACCCTAATGGATTTGATGAAGAACATTTGAAGGTGCCTTTATTAGAGGATGATTTGAAACGTTTTTTTTTTCCCTGCCTCTGCTGTTAGATTGACCCGAAGCCATGCACTCCCAGAGGAATGCAGCCTGAAAAGTCTCGAACCAAGGAGGGCTGGGTAAGAGGCATCTGGTTTCTACTGAAGAGGCTCGGTTAGGTGTATTTGCTCAGGTTCACGCTCTCTCTATCTTCCTTGCTTGACACTTCTTTGCTTTGATGGGCCACGACCAAACCTTAAGCTTTATCTATTTTATAAATTATTGTAAATTTATTTTACGAAAACTAGGGTTGGGCATAATCGCATCGTGTGCAATTAATCATAAGAAAAACGTTAATCGATTTATTTTTTGGCACATGACGATTAATACGATTAATGCCACCAGGCAGGGTCCGCTCGCTGCTCCTCTCTGCTTCAAATATAACGAACATTTTAAAAAAACTTCTGTAATTTATCTATCAACACAATTTAAAAATTGATGTGTAGCCTGAAGTCTGTAATTTTGACACAGTTTGGAACAGATTTTTACAGAAGAGCAAATCTTTCCCACTAAATTGGTCATGTGACAAGGACATGAAGGGACACAAGGGACTCCAGAGGATTAATTGTCAAATTAATCGTTATCAGCTAAATACCACAATTAATCGTGATTCATTTTTTTGGCCAATATTGCCCAACCCTAACGAAGACTCTTGTATTGATGGGATGAATGTTGAAACTTTACAATGTTTGTGTTACAATAGTAATATTATAATAAGGATCAGGGCCGACCCTAGCCAATTTGGTGCTCTAGGCAAGATTTCAGGTAGTGCCTCTTGTGCAATTTACTAAATCTCACTGGCAATTTACGTACAGTCACATACCAAATTAAATAGTCTTTGATAATAATCTTTATCTTTATAAAACAGATTATCCAATTAAAATAACTAACTATATAATTAAAATGAAACAGAATACCAGAAGTCTACCTCATACCTGCAAACATCTGCTGACAGCAATGAGGAACACCTGTTCATATTAAAGGGCAATATCATGTAAAATTAGGGCTGTGAAATTAGTCGAGTTAACTCTGATAATTTGGCATAGATTAAAAATTTTAATCGCGATTAATCCTTTAATGAGCAGCTGTGGAGTAAAGCAGTTCCAGGGTGGGTCCGGTAATTTTGTATAAGATTTACTCAGAACTCTTCATTTTCCCACCATTTGATGAGCATTTTACTTAATTCTTGGGATTAATAAAACAACATAAAATCCGTAATTTATGAAGGAAGGCAGAACAGATAAAGTTCAGGTTAAAGTCTGGTTTTCAGAGATTATAACTTCCATTATTCTTTTTGTTTTCTGTTTACACACCGAGCACCGATAGTTAGTCTTGACTGCATCATATGATACTTTGATCACAAAATATCCTCTGCACCATTTACCATGTTGTAGCAAAGCAGAACAAGTTGCCTTCAGAAACCTGAGTAACCAGGGATTATTCTCCAGATTAAATCAGCTATACTCTGATAAAACGATGTAAAATATTTTTTGTCTTCCATTTGTGGTGCCCCCAAAATGGACGGCGCACTCAGGATATTCCTACACTGCCTGTACTGTGGGTCGGCCCTGTTAAGGATGTCGCTCTTTTAAACATCTCATCTAAGTTGGTAATTTGAGAAAACTTCTGAAATGCACTCTATTGCATGATCCTTAAACTTGCTCTGATCAAGGATTTTTTTTTTTTTAGTCAGGCAGTTATTTTTCCTCCAACTTGAGTAAATTTGGGGTCAGTTAACAATGCCATCAAACCCCAGCAGATACTTAATGATATTGTTTTGCTTCTGGTTGGCAGTGGCTTTAGTTGTGGCATATTTTCTGTCAATAAAACAGGTTTACAAGTCACATATTTGTCTGTAAGCATTTATGACTGAAGTTCTCACTTTACTACCGGCCTTTAAGTCATGTAGTGTACCGAATGTTTAGTAGGAAAATGGAATATGTAATGGCTAACATGGTTTTCCTGAGCAGCCTCCAGCCTTTATGGGTTGATGGTGTCTCACGGCAGTGGTGAAATGCTCAGTGGTTGAGAGTAAGTGGAAGAAGCCGTGCTCTCTGATCTGTGGAGACTAGTGTTTTCATTGACATGACATGTTAAGAATTATACCCCAGGGCAAGTGGAGAACCTAATTTCTTCTGCACTGGCTGAATAGATGACAGCTAACTGGCCCCGTCCCAGACTGATCCTTTAACAGACTTTGAAATCCATACACTCCCTGTTTTTTTTTCTTCTTTTTTTGTGTTTGTTTTATTTTTCAGAAGGGCAGCAAAGCTGATAGCAATAAATCAAAGAAGATATTTGTCGGTGGAATTCCTCATAACTGCGGCGAGCCTGAACTCAGGGACTATTTTAATAGATTTGGAGTGGTGAGTATTACCAACCTATTCTGGCTGTCGTTAACGTTGCTTGAAGGGGTCAATACTACTGCAAGTTAGCTGTGCATTAAAGTTGATGAGGTTGAGTTGCTACAATTGAGACAGAACGTTGATGATTAAAAAAGGACACTGTCCATTTTTCTAAATGGAGCCACTCTTTCTCTTCATCCCGCTCAAGGTCACAGAGGTGGTAATGATCTATGATGCGGAGAAGCAGAGGCCCCGAGGTAAAAGCTGATCCCATTTTCTTTTTCTTTTTTTTTTTTTTTTTTACTTCTCCTGCTCCATTCTGTATCACCTTAAATCTGATGACAAACTATTCTGGCCCAAAGAGGAAAAAAAAACTCATTAAATTGTTTTCACTATAGCAGGAATGTAAACGCTCACAGTGCAACAACTGTGGTTAAAACACATAAAAATGTATATTCTCTCAAGGAAAGTTAATAATTAAAATGGTTAAAGATACGTTTCCACAACATTGTCACCATTAAATAAGAACTATTCTAAAAGCTAATTTTACCTTTTCCATATAGCTCCTTTTAAAACCTTTAAATTAAAATTGTGAATGTTTTCTAAAGACCAAAGGCTTTGTTTTGATGTTCGTATTATGACCTTGTTGGACAGCTAGAGAAATCTCCCTTCATTTGTCCTGATTATTATGAACTAAATCAATCTTTAACCAGATTGTAATACATTACCTTTAGTGGAGGATGGTAAATACAGGTTGGTTCAGAACTGATGCTGGTTTCATCAGTGGAGAAAATTTTTAAATAATCTTTTAACAAATTCATTCAGATTCATAAATGCTTTGGATTTAGCATTAAACTGACATTTATTAATCCAAGTATAACTTCACATAAAAGATCACCCTTTTAATTTTAAGTAAAGTAAAACAAGTCCACATCAAAATGTGTCTCCAGTGACACTGATTGGGCAAAGAGAAATATAATTTATATGTTGAATTGTGTTTTAAAAAGTGTGATTTTTTTTCCCTGTATATGTATTTCTCCTAAAATGTAACAGGAGATTTTGTGCATCTGATGAGAGTGTTGTTAAAACGTGTTGTGGGAGTTGAAAGAAAATCCTCCCTGATAAGGAAACAGATTGTGAGAAAAACAGGTGCTCCAAAAAAATAAAGTACTTAATCACAACGTGCAGCTGGCATATTGAGAACAGTTCGAGCATCTAAAGGAGGATCTGAGGCTGCTGTTGGCCCCAAATGCAGAAGGTGAATATAGACTTTTTATTATAAGAACAATGCAATTATTTTGAAAGGCTTTCAGCACTTTAGAAGTTTCTCTAACCCAGTTCCTGACTTCAGCACTGACAGGCCTTTTATATTTGTCCAGTAGAGTCGTTAATATATTATGAGACTTTGACGTGTCGACGCTTTTAGCATGGACGGTCTCTCTGGGAATCAGACCGGTCCCACCGGCGGTGTCGGACCCTGCCCACCGAGTTACAGCTGTTTCATCTTCATTTGTCCCACATAGCATCGATGCCACGACCCACAACTTACTATTACTGCTCCTCCTTCAAATTCATCCTCTGTTGGGAAAACCCAGAATAGTTTGTCATTAGGATTGTGTACAATGTACTGCACCAGTAACCTAATATAATCTTTTAACAGTTTCTCTTACTAAAACTGTGATATAGTCAAGATCGGAATAAGTTTCTTTTACTTTGGTTTAGAAGTTACTTATATCTTAAATGGCTTAGTATGTTTTCCTGTATGTAGAAAGTTAAGTATTTTTGTAAGTAAGCCCTTTTTTCTATTTTTCTATCTTCTTCCGCCCTTCTCTTTGTGAATGGTTTGAATGTGATTAACAGTGTCTCTTTAAGATTTGCCTTTTCTCCTTTAGGTTATTGTGCATTGGCAGGCAGCACAGAGGTACAGGCCAGATGCAAAAATACCTCTTTTTTTTACTCTGTCTAAATAGGGCATACATAAAGTGCATCAAGGATTTTACTGGGCTGAAGGTCATCTGTAACCATTAGTAGGACAAAAATGCTTCATGGAGGGATTTTATCAGGTTATTAAGGAAGATTGATTCAAATAAATTATGTTATGTTTGATTTATTTAGAGAAATCATTTGTGAAAACCAAAAGTCAAAGGAAAGGTTTACAATAGAGTAGCGAGACCATCTAGTCTTGGGCGGTATGATGGTATTGTTGTTATACCTTGGTATTGAAATACAGTGATGTGCCAAATTTCCACAAGACARCTATGAAAACTGGGACTTGTTCTGAGCACCTTTATCCATTCAGAAGACAAACAAAGTTGCAGAGGAAGGACAGAGACACCCCGTCTGTTGTACCTCTTCTCTGTGCGAATTAGTGACAGAAATGTTACTGCCAGCCTATTGCTTACTGACAACTTTGGGGACCACCCAGTCTGGGGTTTCTTAAAGTGCACMRATCATGCTTTTAAATTCCTCTTTGTCAAGTTTAAATCATTCAGTTGGTGTCTATATGAAGCGGAACTGCAATGCTTTGGTCTGAATTCCTCCTTATTGTGACTCCACAAGCCCCTCTTTCACTCTTTTCTAAGGTGTGTCTCAGATCAACTCGTTTTGTGACTACCTCTTTAAATCCAAATGAGGCGACTGACACTCCACCCACCTCCAGCTTTCAGACAGGTCCAATCCAGAGAGGTTTATGACTATATAGCAGCGCAGAAACTTTTTATTTACAAATGAATTAAAAGATGTCAACAAGGGAAGACTTGCCCATCCAGCCTCACATGTTGGAAGCAGAGTCTGACCCAGAACCAGAGGAGAATGAAGACCACCAAATTGTAGTTGGTGAGTCCAGATCTTATTTGGCAGTTCAGTCACAGAAACTGTGTTAAAAACTGTAGAAACTGTAGTAATTCAGAAAAACGTCCTTAAAAATAGAGAAAACTGAAAGGGTTGTAAGATATGATCCAAACAGAATATAAAGATATCTTTGCAGCACCAAGAGAAACTAAATTAAACTTTTCTGCCTCCTAGAGACTCCCAAGTATACAAAAAAAAAGTATTTAGTGGCTAAAACGTGGATTTTGCATGATATGTCCCCTTTAAGTTAAACCATCATAGCTGTACTCCTTTCAGATTTAAATTTTCTATATTTTTTGTTTGTTTTTTCTTGAGACTCTCAAAGATCAATACTGCCCAACCCTAAGACCGGTTGTGATGTATGGTTTGAAGACAGTGGTGTTAACAAAAAGTCAGGAGACGACTGAAATAGAAGTGTCAGAGCTGAGGATGTTGAGGTTTTCCTTGGGAGTGTCAAAAATGAGACCATCAGAGGTAGAGCGCAGGTTGGACCGCTGAGAGATAAAGTTAGAGACCTGACGGAGATGGTTTGGACATGTCCAAAGGAGGGACAGTGGGTTTATCTGTAGAGGAGGAGAGATATGGATGCAGCGAGAGTGGACATGGAGGTAGTTGGAGTAAAGACAGAGTGTGATGGAGGATGATGATTTTGAGTTTTGTAAAATAAGAGTAAATAATAAAAAAGAATTGTCACTCAGATTGTGAAACCTTGGTTCCAGATCTTTAGATTTCTCTCAGTGTAAATAAAAAGTCCTAATTTTCACATAGACAAGTTGTAAATTTGATTTAAAATAAGTAAATGTTGACTGGTTTGTTGAAATAACGTAGAAACTTAATAGAAATGGTTACTTCTGCTTGGTTAATGAAAACATCAATGTTATTGAACATGACTGCCAGTCCAGATGATTGGTTGTCCCTAGTGTAACAAAGATATTTTGGACTTCTTATTGGAGCCAGTTTGGTTTCAGATTCAGGTTAGGGATGGGTCATTGACAGATGTTATTAACAGCAGCGGAGCAGAAGGCGTGGAAACGTTTGGCACGGTACAAGAGGTCTCTGAAATCTTTACTCGTCTCGTAGGACATCTAATTGGATTCAGGTTAGGTCCCCAAGTGGAGATGCGCTCTCAACCCAGTTCTGCCATCGCCCAAAGATAATCAGATTGAAAGTAGATCACTGCCGCTTGCAGCAGCTTGTTAACGCTCTGAAGAAAAGTTTTGGAAGTACTCTAGTTTACGGAGTAATCGTGGCCAAAAAAAAAGTTATACTCCTTTTGATGCACTTTGTGTAAATCCCATGAAAATCTTTTGAGCACAAAAAAAGTAAATCATCAGTTTGGCAGAGCTTTCACGACCTGTATCTTTGTGTTACCTCTGTGAGCAATATTTAAATTGTCCATTTTAGGCTTATCCTGGCAGACTCAAAGGCAAAAAATAATAAAAAAATAATTTWAAAAAAATCCAGAATTTGGGAAAGCTCGGAGAAAGCTTTAGGCATTCTACAGTTTGTGTTTCTCCATATTTTTGTGATGCATTAACAATGGCTGCTGCGAGTGTGTGCTCCACAGCGATATATATCGGGGACAGTTCAAGGTGGGGTTTGGATGAAACGGCATTAAGTGGCAAAATGTTAACATTTAAATTTTACACCCGTCAACAAAATGTTCAGGCTTTTCTGAAGCTGACTTGACTGACTCTCTGTCTGTGATATTTCACAATAAATGGAATGCTAACACTTGTCATTCTTCATGTTTAACAGTTAAGCAGTCTATAATTGTTAACTTCACCACATATTTCTCTGCACAGTAAAGAGAAAGGTTTCCTTCAATCCCCCCAGGCATTAGTCTTGGATTTGTGTTACTCCTCAAGTCTGCGACGTCATCCGAACCCCAGGAGCCTCTTGCTCAGTCTTGACGGAGCCTCAATCTGCTGAAGCCCAATACTGTTCTTCATCTTGTGTTGTCACAACCCCCCCTGCTACCTTGATTCACTCTTGGTCGTTGGCTAGGTTTTGGATTTATTACTTTCGAGGCCGAACAATCAGTGGACCAGGCTGTCAACATGCATTTTCACGACATCATGGGCAAAAAAGTGTGTAGTTGTAGTCTTATTTTACCCTTACGATCAAACAGAGGCTTGGGCGATGAAAAGATGAAAAGATTGTTGTGGTGATGTTTTCATAATGTAAAGTAATTAAATTTCAATTAGCGAGCTCAGCATCATTGGCATCATCTAAAACCCTTAATAATTAATTAGTGCGTCAGCTTTATATTTGTTTAATTTCATTTCCACTTGCAGATTCAAGCTTCGCCCAAGGCTTTGTTTAAACTGACCACTCCTTTAGAGTGTCTGAAGTACACTATTTTACAAAAAATAATAAATAATTCATAGAGTAAAATGCAATGAAATGGTAACAGAATAAGACGCAAGTTGAAATTAAATTTAAATGAATCGTAATAAACAGAGATCACCTAAAGGATTGGTCTAATAAGTTCTTTTATTTTTATTTTTTCCCTTTTTTGGTTTTGTTTCTGATGTTTTGTTGGCAGGTCACTTACATGTCAACATGTTTTCTTTTTTTTGTTTGTTTGTTTTCTATTTTATTTTGAAAAAGCTCAATTCAGTGACCTCAGCTGAATCTCCATACTGTGTCTGTCGGCTCCTTAAATAACAAACGAAAGCCTGAAACACAAGTTGCAGAAAGACATTTGCATATCACTTCTGGGTGTTTGCTTAGCTAAGTCAACGCACCAGATGGACGGGGTTTACTACGCTAAGCGTCAGGTAGACTTCACATGCAGGGGAAAAAAACAAACAAACAAAAAACAGTACATAAATGGTGGAGTCGTATTTAAAGTTTTCCTGAACTTTTGTCTTACCTTGTGTTGCACAAATCTCTGTAGCAAACACCACCCACCTGCTGCCTCAGCCGAGGGAAGGCTAATCCATTTATATTGACACATATCTGCTAAAGTTTAGCTCAAACTCTTGGGTTTTAAACGCAGCTTCAACGGCTCTAAATCCTACGTAAACTCCCCCTTTCCCCAAAAAGATTGGGCATGGATTTAGCAGAGATGGAGAGATTAAAAGATGGCCTCATTCCACCCCCACCCCCAACCCAAAAAAAAAAAAAAAAAAAAAAACGGACAGGAAGAAGTTGTGGGTAAAATAAAACGGTTGGAATCAGAAAAACTGAGATATTGGGGTGACGATCAATAAACCCAATATTTCTTCACCCCTCACTTCTCTTCTCATCTAAACCAGACGTTAAGTTTAGTGAGAGTCTTAGATTGACCAAATATATATTTTATTATTAACGTGCACAAATATAATGTATATCAAAGTTGAGCTCATTGATTTTGCAATGATAAATATGCAACATATAACATACATACCTGTAATGTTGAATGTTTTTGTATTTGGAACAGTTTTGTAGCACAGTCTTTCCCATCTCACCTGCTGAAGCTTGTAGCTCCTTCAGAGTGGTCCCAGGTGTCTTGGTGGTCTTGTTCACTATTCTCCTGCTTGCGTTCAATTTGACAAAATACCATGACTTGTTCTTTTCAAAATTATTTTCTCTGAGTCAAAGACTGATATAAGTATTTATAAAGTTGTCTATTTTATTTTATTTAATTTTCATAGTATTACTCAGTTGAAATTGGATTTCACATTGACAGCGAAGAAGGTATTTTTTAAACTTTTTTTGTTAAGAAAGCCAATTTTGATTTACTACAGTTGATTTATGATGGTGATAAAAACAAAGCTAATAYATCTTACAGGCAGTATGTCTCTTCATGTATAAATTTGAGGTCTTTTCAAGGCTGCACATTTGGTTCAAGTTCTTGAATGTTTGATTTACATGGTTTGGTTTTGGTAGTTATTAGCGAGAAAATCTTTGGATCTTTAGCTCTTAAGTGAAATTTCTTCCTTGGTTTGAACTTTTTTTATTTTTATTTTTATTTATTTTTTGTTTTCTTTCAATTATGAGCTTAGATTTTAGAAAAAAAAGTGTGGTAACTCTTGATATGGAGAAAAAGTAGTTGACGTTTGGCATCRGCACTTCAGATTAATCAGACCATAAACTAGATTAGAAACTGATCTTGTGAAGATTTTTTTCTTTCTAGAAAACCCCTTCCAAGGAGCTAAAAAAAAACTATTAAGAAATAAAGTTCCTCTTGTTTTTTTCTCAGCTATTCAACATTTAGAAAAGCCCTAATTTGATTCAAAGGTAATTTATTATATTAAGATATTAAATTCCAACCTGTATACTCTCCAGCAGTACTTCTCCCCTTGACTTTGCCCTCATTTCCTCTAGGAATCAAGGCTTTACCTAATCCATTGTTCTTGACATGACATTACTTTACTTTTTTGGAACTAGAAGGAGGCTGAGAGATATAAGTTATAAAATTAGAAATTGGAGCACATCAAACTGCGAAACAAATCCCAGCTCTGCTGTTGGGGACCGTAGAGAAGTYGCGGTATCCATCACTTGTGGCTGCGACGCCCACGGGAGAACGCGCTCAGGTAGCAGCCGGCGGCGGCGAGGCCACTGCTGGAAACGTGCGCGTAATTAGGTCGTCAGAGGAGGAAGACGGGAGGCTGGGGAAGGTGGCAACACCTTAAAGCAGAGAGGAATTTGCGATTCATTTTCCTCCCGCAAGGTGACCCCAATAACTCAACCCTTCAGTCTATTTCTGGTTGGCTCCCCTTAGTCTCAGCCTGTTTCTTTGTTCTGGTTAACGGCTGGTAGTCTGCACACTAACCACCAGGACCGGGCAACACATTTATGAGTGCCTCAAAAGCTTTATTTTTTAATTTAGCTTATAGAAATAAATTTTAAAAAATGAATGCTTGTAAATAAATCCAAGTACYGGTAATCTAAAGCAAGCACAACTAAAATGACCTATCCATTATACATTTTATTTGTAGAATTTTACTAGTTAATAGAATCAATTTATTCCTGGTTTTGACACAGTATGAAGATTCAGTTTAATGACTCAAAAGACTGTTTGTGCTACCTGCATGTTTATATTCTGTTAGATCTGAGATGCAGTTTTCTCTCTACATCCATGACTTATTTAAAATTTATTCCAAGTTTAATTTAAAAATAATCTTTTTAAGCGTTAGCTGGAGGTAAGTCATCACCTTACGTTAGAATATAATTATTTTATTTAGGACAGTTGATTTAAAAAAAACTAAACAAATTTAAATCTATGTTTCTCAGGTACAGTTAGTTAAATTATAATTCAAAGTAGTTTTTTTATATATATAATTCTGAGGACTCTAATCCTGTTTTTCCTCTCAGTACCTGGGACACATAGCCTGCAGCCTTTGTGGCCGCCCAGTTATTTTAACGTACGTTAGCTCCCCTACATTAATTAAATAAACAATAAAGTGAAATGTTTCAAACTGGCCCAGAAAGTTGAGATTAAGTTTCAGTTTTTAGGACAGGCCTGTCTAGGTGAGGGACTTCGTTGACCTCTTTCTGGTGTTGCCAAATGTGCCCCTTCTTGTCCTTTTTGTCCAGGTGGAAGTAAAGAAAGCAGAACCTCGTGACAGCAAAGCTCCTGGCCAGCTTGGCCCTGGTCAGTGGGCACCCAGGGGCATCTTGACTGCAGCTAATGGTTGGACAGCACAACCGGCCCCAGGCTGGCAACAACCTTATGGGCCACAGGGTGAGCGGGAACAAGTCCCAAATCAGAGCAAGAAAAGCTCGCTGTTCACAGAAACAAACCTTAAATACATTAAGTATTCTGCTCTAATGTTAAGCTGACAGATATAAGTCTGAATATTCAACGTTTTCTCCTTCAGGGGTCAGTTTTATCCTGTCTTGACTTGTTTTTCTTTCCTCTCTTCCTGAAGGAGTGTGGGTGTCTGCTACTGGTCAGCCCATAGGTAGGTATTAGCTCGTCACTTAATGCTGCTGTAGTGAGTCTCTTCCATGTTGTAACTGTGAGATTGCAGAAAGAAGTGACTGCCGTGTGATCTCCAGCTTATCTGGAAGTGCTTGTGCAGCAGAAACGGGTTTGCAGGCAGTGCAGCCTATAGGGTGACGACCGTTAACAGTACGTTATCTGTGATTCATAATGGCTGAGGCTGCTGATAATTTGCTGCTTGAGACAGATGGCAGGCCTGAATGGATTCTGGCCTCCTGCTATTGGTCAGGCTCGACTTCCTATCAACACCTCCAGGGTCAACCTGCAGGACTCGCTCCAGCGTCGACCTCAGAATGCTTTACTTTCAGACGCTTTCCTCAAACAGTTAATCGATTATCTGTTCGCTGGCTCTTCAGTCAGAGCAGAAATGTATCTGCTTTGGCATTTTTTTTACTTCAAAGCTCATAATGTATAGTAAAAACAACAAAAAGCCTACATATATTAACACTGTGCTTGTTTTGGGACCAGGTGGGTACGTATCTCCGCTGACAGCAAGCCGGGGAACCCCCACACAGCCTCCATCACCCTTTAACGCATTCCTGGTTACGACCCCGGCTGGCAGCTTCGCAGCACCTCAGGGCTACCCTCAGCAGGGCTACAGCACAGCACCTCAGTTTGGTCAGTCCCACCACTCCATTATTATTATTCTTTTTTACAAAATGACACGTTCAGAACTTTTTTATATTTAGAAAATAATAATCATCATCTCAAAGAAGTTTTTTGTTTTGAGGCCTAAAATAACGGTTGAACTTTCAAAGCTCCTGCGTTTATTGTGTGTAAACATGTTTTTTATAATTCATTTTATTTCACTCATTAAAAACAACAAAAAATCCATTAAAAAAGTAAATCAATTACTGAATGAAAGGGGTGCAGAATGAAAAAAACAATCCCATTATTATCTTATATCTGCCCATAATTAAAAATCAAACAAGAAAAACTTGAACAAATTCCATATATGAGAGAATCAAACCAAAACCAGGATAACACATTAAATATGTGAAATCTTTTTTTTGTCACCTCAGCATAAAACGAACCAAATATTAGTTTATTTAGTTTATTTATGTCTTCATCATCAGTGACCTTTTTTTTTAAGTGAAGAGAAAATAGAGACAGAGAGAAAAACATATGTGAAGTCTTTTAAAGTAGCGGTTGCCTTGGTAAGGGAGGAACCGTCATCTTATCAGAAGACAGCATGACTGCAGACACCCAGAAACGCAATGGATTTAATTGTTTGTCTTTCTATATGAGCCAATATATAATTGATTTACAAAACCTTAGAAAAAAATCATCAGCATATTATTTTGATTTATTTATTGTGATTACATGCAAGGATAAAATGTTGATCTGGGATAAAATGTTATTAAAGACGTATAAAGAGTTAGATTTGTTATAACTGACATAGGGAAGAAATGGTAAATTGATATTTTAGTTTTATTAAAGTGCCTGTCTGTGTATGGTTCGTTATTTGTTTTTTGTTGTTTTTTTTCATTTCAAAATAAAATTTCAAAAAGAAAACAACTGTGTTGATTTTCTGTTTTGAAAGCCTAAATCCACAGTTTGATTTTTGCTTCAGCTGTTTAAATCCAAAATCMAAAATATGGTTTAAATATGTAGTGAAACTTGAAATGTAGGATGTCACCAAAGAAGAAGAGTTTGTGGTGGCTGAAAGACTGCTTCAAAACCGAAACCATTCCTAAAGATATTGGCAGTGGCTGCACTCAAACTCTATACTGCATAATTATTTATATTAAAGCAATTTTGTTCATGGTAAGATCATTAGACAAAACCAAACCAAAGGATGAACCATACACAGTTTACATATGAATGCAGTTTTGGAAATATAACATTAATAACTTGTTGCAAAAAAAACAAAACAAAACAACGTGATGCTGAGATGAACAGTTGAGATACAGTATTTGCATGAGAATTAACAGGAAGTGATGTCAAAGGGGAATGACTGCATGCAAACAGAGCATTGCTACTATAATTAACAACACAGACTATAGAGATGTGATGTTTCTTCCGATTATTTTGAGTTACTATCAGAAAGATGAAGAAAATTTAGAGTTCAAATAATATTGTTCCAATAAATAAAGAACAGAGTATCTTTTCTTGAAGAGTTCCCCTTTACGTCACTTCCTGTTTCACTTTGGCTGAGCAAAGTTCAAAACAATATTTGCCAATTATGCGATAAAATGGATAAAATCATTTATTTGAAGCATATCCACGTCACAGACACTTTAATATTTTTTTTTAGATAGCACAAGTATCAATCAAAAGATTCTTATTAAAATAATGTGAACAAACCATTGTAGCGATTGATCACAAAGGCACTGAACTGAAAATTGTGTGGTTCCTCTTGAACAGGTTACAGTTTTGGCACACCCCACGCAGACCAGTATGCTCCWCAAGTTCCTCCTCCGCCCACCACTCCAGGAACCGCGCCGCTGGGCTTCGCTCCTGCAACCACACCAACTCAGGACTTGAGCAAAGCTCCCACCGGGCAGCCTGACTTCCCTTATAGCCAGTATGGTAAGAAAAGCACGGTGCATAAAGGAGCGCGCTGCCTGTTTTCTGTCCCATTTGGGTTTTAGTCACCCCCTCGATCCTGCCCATCTCTCTAGATGTTTTATCGAGCGCAGCTACACCTCATTTGACTTCACGACCGCAGCTCTTACACAGACCGGAGCTCGCTCGCTCTCTGTGCCTTTTTAGCTTTGAACAGCTACACATCCAAACGCACTTCTTGCATACGTGAACCCCACTGACTCTGCCATGAAGACACGGATGATGGGCTTTTATGTTCAGGTCATTTCTAGTTAGGGATTTGTTTTAAAAGATTGGTAGGTGTTAAATTAGATCATCCTGCCTTGCAATGTTGTTTTTTTGCATTTTTGTTAAATTTTAAAAAGTTGTGTCATTTTACCCTTACTTGGTGTGCGTTTGATTTTATCCTTTTAAAACTCTCCTCTGCACTTCCTGCATATCCTGGTCCTAAACTGTTTAGGACCAGGATATGTAGCTAATGTGGAACAGAATGGAGCAAAATTTACAAGTTTGTGCAATGATGTTGCTTTACTGTCATGATTGTCACAAATCTGACTGGCATCCAGGAAATATGCAGTAACAGTGGGTAAAAGATTTCATTCAGGAGCCCTAATTTTCAGGCTGCTGATAGTTTTTATTTATTTATTTACTTTTTTTTCCCTGATGTGGCTTTCAGCTCCTTCAAACGGCTGAATCTACATTTTAAACCAGTCACGTGATCACTGTCAGTCACAACAAGGTGCACATCTTGTTCAGTGTTTCCTGCTTGTGCTGGTCATCCATCAAGCTTTTTATTTATGTTTTTTTTTTCGCTTTAAATGTTTGCTGCTTGTTCAGGCTCTAAAGTGTGATTTTTCAGTCAGCAGGAAAAAAAACCCAGCCTCACAGAGGTTTGTCATTCATTGATACAAAGTCAAGGGTTAAATATGAGCATAGCTGATGCTGGGTATGACATTGTTTGCATGATTTTTAGTTTGGCTCATGTGAAGTTAGATGTTTGATTAATTAATACTTGATTTAATTTAGGATTAAGCCACTGGTTTTGTATGTTATTTATGTGCACTTTTAATTGTTTTACGGCGAGGCAAGAGCAAACTCAAACTCGAATTTAGACTTAGCATTTAAATGCAAAAGAATAAAGCCATACAACACCTTCAGCTGGACCAAAATACAGACCTTTATTCAGTCTCTGAGTACTTTGGTAATGAATCAAACCAAATGACATACATTTAAATTTTCTTTGGGGTCTGGCCACTCCCCAGGGGCAAGACGTCACATAGGCCTGTCGCAATAGTCAATAAATCAATTAATTGCACAATAAATTTTTTTGAGGTCGGTAAAAAAAATGAGGACGATAAG